CATCGTGCAGTTATGGTAAAGTAGAGAGATGGGACCATAGGGCCTGGGCATAGGCTAGCAAGGGCTTAAGATGTAAAGATATCATTTCAAACCGAAAAGAATACCTTAGTTAATTAATAGGCTTCCACATATTTAGATAACTTGCTCTTCTTCTATTTCCCTAATGTGGGATTCTTTCACAATTCCATCATCTACTCATCCTGTGAAGTAACTCAACAATCTCATCCTTCATATGTGAGTGGTGATCAGTTCCTCATGAGTGTAAAAATATGACCCTTAAAAAAGAGGCTCCAATCTTCCATGACTTTTGGCTCTACTCTTCCATCAGTTGTTGGGTGTGCTAAACTTCATGGGAATCCACCGACTCAAGCGTGGTATGAAAGAGGCAAAGTTTGCATTGGGAGAGTCTACACACTTAATTTGACTTGCCAGGTCCGGCCTAAGATTGATGCATCATCAGTTCTTTCCTCTATTAGGGATGGAGACAACTTGGAACGGTGGGAGTAACTATAGGAACACACAAGTAATGGACCAATATGTGTAGACATCATCTTAAACCCAAAAGACTCATTTTAATTTTAAGTGGCGTTGAAACATATGCATTGGGCCTTGTTCATTGAGCACCTATGGACTTGTTCCCCCTAATAGTATAGACATCTATACCTGATACTGAACCATATTATTTCCATACAAGAAAAATACTTACCAAGTCCAATACCCACAAATATCAAGATACACATATCGTTACTCTCACCTCAAATTGATACTGTGCCCTACAAAGATATGGTCCAAGTTTGTTGGTAGAATCATCTACTGGGTTTGGATAACTCATGCCCTCAGATCTTCTATTGTTGAGGCCATACCCTAACAGTGAATGCGCGACAAATATACACATTCATACGTACATGTGACATATTACCGAAAGACACATACATGTGACGCGGTTAAATATAAGCATGAGCACCAATAATGGAAATTTTTAATTTAATTTTAATGCAGTCTAACCAAAAGTTCATGGCTTTGCTCCCTTTAAAATTATTATTGGAATGGCATGGCTGAACCTTCCATGTGAGAGCTTTGAATCATGTCCTCCTTCGGATGGCAAAATTCCATGTTACTCTCATCAGCGCCAATGAAGTACAATGGACCCAACAGTGGACTTACAAATCTTACCCTAAAAAAAAAAAAAATGGAAAGAAAAGAAAAGAAAAAACATGGACTAACAGATCACCCTCTTTCTAGACAAATGAGAAAGAATAAAAAAATAATCAATAATAAAATAATTGATATGCAAAATCATCCTTCATGTCTAAAATTATGATGTTAAGACTGATGACAACTGTTTCTGTTACAATTTTACAATAATAAGAATCTAGATTTTCAAATGGCTGTAATGCCATTAATTAACGAGCAAAACTTCATAATTACTGCTATATTTTAATGAACATGCTTTTATTCCCCCTTGATGCGTGATGGATCTACCAATGAATTGAAGAATTTTTTCTTTTTTTTTTTTTATCATCATAGGAATGGAGAAAGAAACAGTAATAACCTATATATACTACATACACCTTTATGTCATGTCAGATTATTATTATTTTTTTTAAATGTATATTATGATAATGTATTTATATAAAGAAGATGATAGAACATAAATCCGAAAATTCAAAATATTTTCATGACTTCTATGGTAACTTATGCCGACTCCATGAAGGATGGAAGGACATGCAAGCATGTTAGTGTTTTTGGGAAATTAAAAACATAGTTTATGCTTACCTAAGTTAGTCATGTGGTACTCCAGATGGTCATATGACCATTAAAAGTTTGAGTAATGATGGACAGAGATTTGAGAATAAAATTTGAGATTAATGATACGGTATAAGTCATATTATTAAATAAATTAATATATATAATATTAAGAGTTTTAATAAAATAAAAAAGTAATTATTAAATAATATATATTTTATTTTTTAATATTTTAAATGACATTACTCATATCATATCATTAATCTTAAATTTTAATTTCATAAATTTCATCCATTTTATCCATTTTATCATTATTCTTAAAGTTCAAACCAAATCCAGTAAGAAAGATAAAAAGCAATCAAACTAATAATAATTTTTTTTGAAAAAGAAAGATCAAAAGCAAGCAAATCTAGCTGATATCCCACTATTGCATTTGATATCCTTTCACATGACACGCATCTGCGAAATACTAAATGCGGGACACAATTTACCCGCAAAACAAAGGTGTGATTATTATCATGCTTTTTCACCCAAAAACTGAGCTAGAAACAGGACCCAAATGAGTCACTTGCACAGTTGCATAAAAGAGTAGTCGATCCCCAGATAATCTTATAAAGTCTAGTGGGATTTTCATTGGACAAGTAGCAAGTCATTAATTTCACCTCATTTTGTGGCCATACACATCAGGGTCACAAAACATGGATAAGACATAAGATCACCCAACCTTATGAACTTTGAAATTATTGAAAAGGAAGTCATAGTAAAAGGTTCAGACACTTTTGAGCCAAAAATGAAGGGGAATAAAGTGTTAAAAAAAAAAGAAAGAAAGAAGAAGAAGAGGGTATATAGAAACTAAATGACAGTGGCTTAAAAGCCCAAAAAAAATGCCACCAAGTCCTGGCAAATGAATTGTTTTTTTTTTTTTAAATATATATATATATATATATATATTCTAGCAAAAGCTATGTATTAAAGGCACCTGGCCTTTCAGGCTGTTTCGTAATGGTGCGTCTTTGAAGTTCCTTTGGCTAGGTTAGAATACCCCTCCATAATGCCATATGGAAGGGTCTGATACCATCAAGATGTGATCAAGGGGCAAAAAGGGGTTCAACAGTGTGAAATGATTTTTCTTTAGAATCAAAGAGCAATCACTATTTGATGGGGAAGAAAGTGATTCAATTGTTATGATAGTTTGGGCCAAATATCAAAATTGAAAGATAGACCTTTTTGTGGTAGTGGAAACAAATCAGAGGGCAGATTCTCATGTAGGAGATACAGTTTACAACAATTCCCAAATCCCAACTCCCTTTTTAATATTTTGGTTGTTTGGAACTTTACAATCATTGTAGCCAAGAAATATTGCGGTGTAATCATGGTAAAATCGATCTTTTACTGTTCTGTATAGTGCATACCACCACCATCACCACAATTGGTCCTCATCAAACCCTTGTTTACTAAGGTAATTAGTCAATAAAGGCATAAAAACTACAGGATAAAAGGAGAATAAGAGAGGGTCCCTCAAGTTTGGCTTAAAGAAATGCATTTAGGTAAGTATCCTTGGCTTTACTTATGGGAGCCGACCGACCATAGGGAAACAAGAGCATGTGAAGTGAAGATAAGGTATCTTGATTATTAATTACCTTTGGTAGTGAGATATTATTCATGGAATTCAGTCGACTCTTCATAACATGTCCAACCAATCCAATCGTTATTCATGGAAAATTTTTCTTTACACCGTCTACTCACTTCAATGGCTCTTATTATAGTTATTATGAATAGTGTTAAAGTTACTAATATTTATTTTTTATTTTATCAAACTATTTTTTTAACCCACTTAATTTAAAGAAATAAATATCCTTTTAGCTCTATTCTCACTTTTATTTTTTTAGTAAAGGGAAAAATAATTTAACAAAATAAAAAATAAAATATTGTATAGCTGGTGGCCATATATCTTGGGCCCTCTTGGAGGCCCTCAATTAGTTAATAAATACTCCCTACTTCAAGATTGTCTCGCAAATCTCTAAGAGGAGTCAAGAAAGTCTACCCTCTGTACGACTCTTATAATTACCCTCGTCATTAAGTATTGAAACTAAATGCAATGAAATGAGCCAGTTATTCAGATTACTATAAAAGGATTTTTGTTTCTTTATGCCTTAAGGCCTCAAGGGTGTGTGGTGAGAGGCCACTTTCTCGAACGAGAAAATTTTCATTGAGAGAGTAGTTGAAAATATATTGTATACAAAATTGAAAAATATTATATTAAAAAATAAGTTTTATAATAAAATTATAATAAAATTTTATTATATTTAGTAAAACAATTAATATAATGAAAATTGGTAAAAAAAAGTTATTAAATGAGTTTAATATAAGAGAAGTTGTAAAAAAAAAGTTTCTCAAAAAGATAAAAAAAAAAATTTATGAGTTGGAAATCATATTAAGAAAAATAAATTTTTAAAACTTTATTTTTATTCTTTATTTATTCTAATTTTAATGTGTGTAAATATCAAAATATCTTTATAAAATGTAAAAAAGGGTCTTTCTCGGGAAAGTACACCAATACTTAAGGTTAAGGGTACATATTACACATATTATAGTGTATTTATTTTATTTTTTACTATTAATTTGTATAAAAATTATAAAATAAATTTTATTTTCAATATTAAAGTCACATGAAACATTTTTATTAGAAAGTTACTAAAATTAAAATTAATTTTTATTTGTATATAAATTAATACTAGAAAATATGATATATGCACCTTTAATCTATACTCTAACACAAATATGATTATAATTACACAACAAAGTGTTTTTGTCATAAAATTTTTTGTCTATTATCTTTTAAAATATTTAACCTGCTTGATTTAGTTGTTAAAAATAATTAATAATTATAATAATTAGTTAATTGATGATAATATAAATATTTATTAATTAATAAATTAAAATTATTATTAAAGTACACGCTAATATTTTTAAATATCATATAAGTAACTATTTTTGAAAAAGACCATAATCTCACCGAGCTGCCACCTAATTTTCTGCCTTGAGCATGAAAAAACAAAAGTAGCTTCATGAACGTGTTTGATAATTTAAATCAGAAACTTGTTTTTCACCAGAACTGACACCCCAATTCCATTCATGAAAAGACAAAACCCCCTCAATGATTCTACGAGCGCGTGATGATCTTTCCGGTAGCTTATATTCAAACAACTGTCTACCACCAGCAATTTTAACTTCTTTAAGCTCTACTCACATCCAAGAGCTGTATATAACCTAAACCAGCTTTATATCCAGACAACCTCTATCTACGTTCCTCTGTTTCTCTTTCTCCTTAATCCTTCTTCAATTCTTTACATTGGTACTCACACCCAAAAAAAAGGGACAGTCTTTGATAAGGTAAAAGAGATGGGGTTGTTGTTTACCTCTTTCAGTGCCATAACTTTCTTGTTAGCTATTGTCTCCGCCGTGAATGGCTGCTCGGAGTCGGACAGGGCAGCATTGTTGGCCTTCAAGTCCTACTTGAAGGAGTCCAATCTGGGCACCTTCAACTCCTGGACGACCTCGGACTGCTGCAAGTGGGACAGCATCAGCTGCGATCCTACCACCAAGCGAGTCACGGACATTTCCCTCCGCGGCGAGGACCCTGCCCTTGTCAAAAAAACCGGACGCTCAGGCTACATGTCTGGTTCCATCAACCCAGCCATTTGTCAGCTCGACAGCCTCACCACCCTGATTATCGCCGATTGGAAAGGAATCAGTGGAGAGATCCCTCAATGCGTCGTCTCGCTATCAAACTTACGAATTCTAGATCTCATCGGCAATTCAATTTCCGGTGAAATCCCACAGGAGATAGGAAATCTCAAGAAGCTCGTTGTCTTAAACCTCGCCGACAACAAAATCGCCGGCCAGATCCCAAGCTCGCTAGTTCAGCTCTCGAGTTTGAAGCATCTTGATTTAGGCAACAACCTCCTAACCGGAAAAATCCCTTCCGATTTCGGTAACCTCAAGATGCTCAGCCGAGCGCTACTGAACCGAAACCAGCTCTCCGGTACAATCCCGACTTCCATCGGCAACATGTACCGACTGGCCGATCTGGATTTAGGCATGAACAAGCTTTCCGGTCAGATACCGGATATTCTGGGCAAAATGAAGGTTCTGGCGACATTGAATCTCGATAGCAATTCATTTTCGGGTCAAATATCACCCGTCTTGCTAGCAAGCACGGGTCTGGGTATCCTGAATTTGAGCCGGAACGCTCTGGAGGGAAAGATACCGGATGTTTTCGGCGCAAAATCGTATTTCATGGCTCTCGATCTATCTCGCAACAATCTCAAGGGAGCCGTACCCGGTTCGATAGCATCGGCGGCATATATCGGCCATTTGGATCTGAGCAATAACCATCTTTGTGGACCCATTCCCATCGGCGCACCATTCGATCACTTGGAATCACCGTCGTTTGAGAACAACGATTGCCTCTGCGGAAACCCGCTCAAGACTTGCTGATGAAGATCGATTACTGGTCACCGGCAAGAATATCGGGTTGGTTATTAATTAAGTGTGGTTAATTAAAAAGTTATTATGTAATTTTCCTCTTTCTCCTAATATTCCACTGGGTTTGTAGTTTGTATATTGGAGTGTTCGTAAGTTGAAAATCAAAAATGATTGATCCAAAGAAGGAACCGAGACCATTAAACCTTTGTAAGATTGAGCTCGGTTTATTAAATCTACATAAGATTCATTATTTTTATTTTTCTTTTAACAAATTTGTAAAATGTTGGATTTAAACTGTTACTGTAAAAAGAAAATTCACTTATTTGTGATCTGACACTGATATCATAAATTAAATTAGATATAATTTTTATAATTAATTATTTTTATTTAAAAAATCTTACAATAATATTATGTAATAATGATATAATTACAATCATTCCAGGACCATGATCTATTACTAGGTAACGTTTATTTTAATTAAATTTTCAACTAATGAGGCCAAAAATTAAAAATCCTTTGTGTACTATTCTTATTTGAATGCGTAGGACCTACAATTGTTGGGTTTTAAAATTATGAGAGTTTCGTGCGGCTCTGGCTTAACCCGTGTAGGTTTGTATTTTTAATTATAATATTATATAAAATTATAAATTTATAATTATAATATTATTAAATAAATAAATTTATATAAGTTTTCATGTAAATTTTTAAGTTAAAAAATTTATTTATTTAATAATATATTATAATTATAAATTTATAATATTAATTAATATAATAATTAAATTAATTTTATATTATATATATTTATACATTTAATATTACATTATTATTATTATAAATTTATAACTCTATATGATATAGTATTTATAGTCTCTTCAATTTAATTAGAGTTTGAGCTTTATTTTCGAGAAGAATGTGAGAGTATTAAGGCTAGACTAAAAGTTTATTAAATGGAGGTGATTGTTCGGTGATTCTTTACTCCTTTGTTGCTCTGTAGAGTTGGACCATTATTGGTTCTACGACACTGGATGTCACTAATTTAAGGGCTTACGAGGCCAAACCGTAAAAACTATTTCTGTAATGTGATTAATGTTTATCAACTACTTCCGTTGTTTCAAGATATAACTCGTTTCATTGCCTGTCTTACAAAATAAAAAATAAAAAATAAAGTAAATAAATATATATGACTCGTTAGACCAACTACCCCATGTGCGGCATGTGCCCCAATACCCACAACTGTTTGAAAAAGAAATGGTGCACTAACATCCAGGGTTCAAGCGCTGGTCCCATTCTCCATCCCCTTGGTTGTATTATGTACTAAAGAAATAAATATATAGAATAGAAATTTACTTATACATAAATTTTATATATTATATTTATATAAAATTTTAATGATTTATTTTTTTTATTTTTAATAGTTAAAATTTACTCATATTTATTAAAAATAATTACTTTTATCTAAAAAATCATAACAAATCTCAATAATTAATAAATGCATGTAATATATAAAACTTAGTATAAATGGATCTTTCTTCATATATATATATATAAAACTTAGTCTATATATATTTAGTCGTTTAATGTTTTTAGATGTAATTTTAAATAATATTCTTTTATAGTATATGAATGAGATAATTATTGAAACCTTTTTAATATGTGATTCTTCTTGAATAATAAAACTTAGTCTAGTTTTATTTGATAAAAAATTAATTATCATTTATAGACTTTAAAAAAACATAACTTAAAATACATGTATAAAAGTCAAATAACTTATATATATATTGTCAATAATTTAAATAACTCAATAGTTATTTCCTTTCGTTAGAA